TTGAATTTTTTAAGGATGAGTATTGTGGATTTATGTTGGAAAACATATTTTTGTACGAAGAAAACAGATGGAGCATGAGCTATTGAAATGAGATTGAATATCATTATTACCTTGATGCATACAAAATACACCCACAATGGAAACACTACAAAGATACAAAGACATTGCCAGAACCACATCAATAGTGCCCACTGCCCACTACCTAATAACTCGAGGGTTGTGCACGAATCTGTTTGTCTGTTTGACGCTGGAGAGTTTGTTAATATATATAATTTCCCAAATTTGAAGACATGTTATGTCGCTGCGCGTCTGAAGAATGCCAGTGTTGTCAGTGAGTTGTTGTGTCAATGTCTTGTCATGGTCGTATCGCATGTGGTCCAGAGGTGCCCCATCACGTAAGTACATTGTCAGGCCTCGTGAGGTGACGCTTGACAATACACTTAGGTGATGTGGCACCTCTGGACAACATGTATCACGAACATGACAGGACATTGACACAACAATTGACGAGCAACACTCACGTTCTTCAGGCGTGCAATGACAGAAGACGCCTTCGAATTTGGGGAAGTCTATTTATTAACGCACTCTCCAGCCCTAAACAAAGATATTCGTGCACAACCATTGAGTCATTACATGCTGGGCGATAAATACTTTGACGTGATTGCGGCAATGCATTTCGTGTCTTTGTAGTGGTTCCATTCTCGGTGTATTTTATATGCATCAAAGTGATAAAAGGATTCTGTCTTCAATTGGTCATGCTTCACTTGCCTTCTCCGTACTAAAAATGTTTTGCAAAAGTAACACACAATATTGATCATTAAAAACTCAAAACTTATTTTTTTGTGCCGTTTAGACTTATCCGACGATGAAATAACATCTTGAAACGTGATAACACAATGGCGAAGACATGAGTGGTTTTGCACAAACTACATATACATACATATATATATATATATATATATATATATATATATATATATATATATATATATATATATATATATATATATGTGCATAAATACATATGAAAATATTTTGCACACAAAAGTGATCCTACACACACACATGTATGTATATATATATATATATATATATATATATATATATATATATATATATATATATATATATATGGAGCGTGATCAATGTTTATCAATGTTTCATGCATACGTCTATGAGAACTGCACTGGGGTGACCCACTTTACCTCAGTGCAAAATGTGTCGTGTGAAAATAATAATTTCCTGACACGCGATCTCTCCTCCCTCACGCAGCACACCCTATGGTCGACCATTTTTCTTCGGCATCCTCACTTTGGCCCGCAAACGACGTAGGGACAAATGAAAGATGTATGCATGGTTGCTTTCTTTGTGAACCTGACTGCTGCAAAACTATATGAGTACTAAGTTTCTTTATCGCACGGGTGCCCTGCGGACTTTTCAACTTGGCTGTTCAAAAGTGGTCCTATTCCAATCCGACATCTTTTCCTCAGTACTGCTTCGTCCTGCATCTTCCATGCGCCAGCCATGAGTGGGCCTAAGTGCTCCTGGTACTGGCTCCTTCCGACGTCGGACGCATATTCCGTGCAGAGGTAACCGTGCGGGCTGCCTCGACAGGGGCATCCAGGCGCATGCCGTGGTTCACCACGATTGTCCACTCCGACGGAAATTATACCGTAAATAACCGCAAATAACCGTAAATAGGCCTGATTGGAACAACGTACGCTGCGATCAGCACAAGCCCCCAAACATTGACCTCCATCTCTCATTGTTTATTTATTCTGTAACTGTATCATTTAGTAAATGCTCATTTGCAGATTTCCATTCGGTACCTTCCGGCACAACGCGAAGAGTACTTTTTCACCCTCGTGGCCATGCGGGCGAGTGAAGATATGGTTTAGCGGCGTGCTTGGTTGGTAATAGGCGTTGGGTGTCACTCAGCAGAATCCTGTTCACAAAACCGCGTTAGAACGCGGTAGAAGCGTAACGGTGGACTCTCTCGAGTGTGGAGATGACAACGCGGTTTTTGCCCAGCTCCTTTCCACAGGCATTCACCTCGCCGCGGCGAATATATCGTGCAAGCACACCTGACAAAGAAAGATGCCGAACGGGCTTAACGGCTCCCGGTGAGTCCAGAAAAGATTCTCTGAACTGGCTTTGAGTGCGGAGTATTGTTAGCGAACAGGTCGCCAATGACACCGCCGCAAACGAATGCGCGCCACATACATAGCAGAGGCCTGGCAGGCATCTGAGACCTCATTTTACCGGAATCATTCACGGAACTGGGAGCACGTCAAGCCAGACTATACCGCAACTCGGGATTAGTCCGGGGACCGATGTACCATCAAGCCCCGCATCGCAATTATCGCATCGCGTCCAGACTCTGTCGGGGGGGGGGGGGGGGAGGGGGGCTGCATAACCAGGACCGGGCTGGCAGTTCACTCAGAATCGCAACAAGAAATACAGTGACGCCTGGCTTTGTTGTTGTTGCTCATTGGAGTTTTCGGGCGCGTCGACTGCAGTGGTCATTTTGCGCCCATCAGTGACGCCTGGCGCTGACGAGCTACTTAACACGCGGCTTACGACAAGCACGATCCATGGGCGTCTCTACCTCCCCGCCACCGTCACTACTTGGGCTCCCTCTAGTCCATTGCCACAATTCCAATGCCTGTTGATGACGGATACGACTTGTTTGCTCGCAACCATCCACACGCGATATCAGTGTATGACTTGAGCGGGGCATCGTCGCTTTAGCCGTCTCAGTCGCTTTGCATTCCAGCCAGAAAGTAAAGCCTCGGCATTCGGAATACACATCAGCAACGAAAGCGAACACGCTGCAATAATAATTTTGCCTGTCGCGGCCCGCCATGAATCATTGCCGCACTGACTCGGCAAGGCACCAAACCTGATTGGCGGTGTGAGGCTGAGTCCCCCAGGCAACATGTAGAACGACCGCTGATTCAACCCAGCTGGCATCACCCTGACCCAGCGTTCGGCCACGCCTTTCTGGAAAAGACCTGATGGTCGACACCACGGAACGTTGCCATAGTGTCTATCCGGCTCTGACATCGTCGGCAAATATTAGGCTCAGGAGCGCCACCAAACACCACGACCTCGACCCATTTATTTGCCATCGATAAGCAAGGCATCGACGAATGCGAGGGCGGGTGGGGGGGGGGGGGGGGGTAAGCCAAACAAAGCGGGTGTAATGTGCCCTGATGTTAGGATCGGGGGTGTAGGGTGTGTGATATCACGAGTCCGACCGGACCGTTTGCGAGCACCCTTCACCTGTTGCCAGGAGCGCTTGCGTCAGCCCCTTCCCACGGCCCGCAGGTCGGAGATTCCTGTCATGCCTGTGCTCAAGGGGAGCAGCGAATAGTCGGAGTCCCCCCCCCCCCACACGACACCGCCCAGAGAGGGTGCTGAGTGGTTGACGCCCCAGTCCCCCCCCCCTTTCGGCTAGCCCCAGCTGGATACAACGAGCGCCGCAGACAGACCCCACCCCCGCCGAAACCTCTACCCTCTCAGGTCAGCAGTGTATTCTCGCGCGAAACGAGCGCTGCAGACAGACCCCACCCCCGCCGAAACCCCCACCGTCTCAGGTCGGCAGTGTATTCTCGCGCGATCACGAATGCATCACCGAAGACGAGTGAGGTCTGGCCGTCGGGTCAGAGCCTGGCCGGTTGCCAGCGGCGCCCCACCCGGCGTCGGCGAGCCAGCACCCGTACAGAGGTACACTGCGCTGGCACACCCCGCTGGCCGCCACTTCCACACGCCCGGGGGCGGGGGCCGTCAGGTACGTGACAGAGCAAAAACGCCATCGGTTATAGCCAAGAACACGAAAAGCGCGTGCATGCCAACACTTCAAATGTACGGGATTATGTCATTATTAAAACATTTCAACGTAAACAATGGTAGTGCGTTTGCCATGTCATGCGATAATCTATTCATGAGTTAACCAAGTGATATCCGTCCCATTTTCAGTGCTTCAACATAATCTATGACCAGCAGAATGCCACTTAAATGTGATCTACAAATGGCTGTCGGAAAGCAACGAACACCTTCACTAAAAGGCTCGTTATGCCGAAACGACACACGAGCTGCAGGCACTGGCATTGCCAATGCTTAACCATGCATACTCGCTTGTGGTAAACAACCCACCACAAACCAATCATAAAATGCATAAGCCTTCCCGGTGCCAGCCTAACAATATGGTCAGGGCTAACAAACCGCGATGGCATCGCGTACATAGATCCCCTCAATGGCATCGCGTACACAGATCGCCCTCAATGGCATCACGTACACAGATCGCCCTCAATGACATTACGTACACAGATCGCCCTCAACGGCATCGCGTACACAGATCGCCCTCAACGGCATCGCGTACACAGATCCCTCAATGGCGTCGCGTACATAGATCCCTCTCAATGGCATCACGTACACAGATCCCCTCAATGGCATCACGCACACACATCGCCCTCAACGGCATCGCGTGCACAGATCCTCAATGGCATCGCGTACAAAGATCCTACTCAATTCACCAGCGCTTACGTTCTCACAAAAATGCACTCACCCAGCTGACAAACGCGTTTTTTCTGGAAATGACTACGTTCAAATATTGACATGTAAGATCGGATGGTATATGTACAATGGTTCTCAGCGTTCCAGAATCCGTACTTGCACATGATGCCTTCGGTATCAACTTCTGCTCCCAGCTATCGGCGCGCCTGGCCCCCTCTGCACGCACCACAGTGACGAGACACGCGGCGCGGCACTACCGTCAGCTGTTCTGTTAACTACAACGCTTCGCCAACCCGCGACGTGCGTCAAAAGCTTCCAAAGCACCACTCGTTCACACCGACGACGCACACGAGACACACGGAAGTGATACTCGGGGCATTCGGCTACCGCGCTCAAGTGGTCTGGGGGATCCACCTGACATCGCTCATCTATTACCCAACATAAGAACTCACCTTCGCTGACCGCTAGGCATCATTAGCGTGCTAAAAGAATGGCCAGAACGACAGGAGTCGTGTAATGTTGCGGGGTGCTTCCAACACGCCAGGCAGTGCAGAGGGACAGAAGTGCACGGCGTGGGAGAGGCAGAGCAACAGAAGTCGGTTACTCTGCCGGAGACGGGTACCGGCACCACGACACGAGCGTACACAATCGCCCTCCACCACAAAGACGGAAGAAAGTGCCGGGGCTCCACCGCAGCGGCGGAGAATGGCAGCGGGGTCCAGAGCCTCTTACGTTCCTCCCGCCGGCCGCCGCTGCCACTGCGCTTCCGGATGGCAGCGCCCGTCGCCAAGTCGGCCAAATGACGCCGCGGCAGCGGACAAAGGTCAGCCGGATGGTGCCGAGCCAGCCGGGGTCGGCCGATCGACGCCAACGCCCCGCGGGAGCGCCGAACGCGGCCGCCGGTGCCCGCGCCGCCGGCCGACAAGTGGAGTCGCCCGGGCCGGGCCGGATCGCGCTCGGCGCCACTCGTCCCGGCGACCGCTCGCGGGGCGGACGGGCTAGGCAGCGGCGGGCGGCCGCGCAGTGAGATCGACCGCTGGCGCCGGCGGCGTCTCGCCGAACGACGCCTGTCCCCGCCGGCGACGTGGCCGTGTCGCGTCCGAGCGACGGCTGTCATCTCGTAGCGGCGCGCCAGTAAAATCGCTGACTGGCTTCACTCATCTGGTCGCGGCACGTCATCGCAGCAGGCCGACGACGTCCGTCACTTGGCGGGCCGGGTCGGCGCAGTACCAAACAGAGACCACAGGCTGATTTTATGAGCGGACCGAGCCGGCCGCGCGGCCCCCGTCTGCGGACGGCCCGATCAGCAGTTTGCCGGAAACTTCGGCCAACTGCCCGACCGACGTAGGCAGTTTCACGGCAGCGGCCGCCTCTTGGCGCGACGCCGGCCTTTCGCGTCGTCGCCGGCGGCGGCGATGGGCGGCAGGTCGGCGCCGCGGCTGGGTCAGCAGGGCGGCCCGGCCGGCGGCTGGGTCAGCAGTGCGGCCCGGCCGGCGGCTGGTCTGCAGCGCGGCTCGGGCGGCGGCAGTGGCGCGCCGGCACGGTTTGTACGGGAGGCTGCGCCGACACCGGCCGAGCACCGGCCGCCGACACCAGGATCAGCTGGTGCGTGGCGCCCGCTTGCACGGGCATGGCTGAGACGGGAGCAGCCAGCACGAGCGGTAGCGGCGCCGGCCGTGCGGCCGCCTCCTCCGGCCGGCCGAACGCCTCCAGCTCCAGATGGCCCAGGCCGTCGGCCTCGGCCAATGCTGCCGGAAGAGGGTTGGCTGGGTCACGCCGCGGCACGAGGCGGCCGTGCGCCGACCCGCGGGCAGGCGGGCTGAGGCGCCACGCTGCGGCTCGCCACAAACTAAGCTCGAGCAGCCGCCTGTTCACATAGGAAAACTTCGGCCATAAAACTTCAAATGACTTTCTACGAACATAAAGCTTTCCTTTAGACCAATATTTTTTACAAATAAGCTCGGTTCAAAAGGCTATAGAAATCATCAACACCCTGGTGAAATATTCGTACCATGTAAGCGCAAAGCAGAAGCACGAATACACAGTCGCGATCACAGTTCGATACAGTTTTCGCCGGCGTCCATTCCCTCAGTAACAGATCCGGATATGTCAGATGCATCTCCGTTCGACATCCAATGGATAGACACATCGTGTCGCAAGAGATCGGCGATGTTCACACAGTGATGGATGACGCGTGATATAACCACGGGACCGTCAGCGCTGGTCCGGAAACATTGGCCACCAGCGACGGGCAGCGACGAACAGCACAGGCTACGTCACGATCGTATCTGTCTCCAACGTCTAGCCGCAAATCAGTCACCTTTGACGCCTCCTTAAAATCAGTGCAGGTCTCGCTACACCGCGGAGCACATTACGCTCTCACGATTTTGACGATAAACCCCCGCCGAGAAGCATGGGCTCTGCCTCAGCGGAACGGGAGGCTGTCGGGGACGGTGCCGGGCAGCCGCATGACAGCGGTGAAGCCCTCTCTCAGCCGACTGCCGACAGGCTCGGCGCAACCGCACGCGGCGCTCAGTGCTGTCTCCAGTATCGCACCTCTCATCTCACGCCCGTCAGAGCGGGCCCCAGCGGCGGGGAAATCCGGGCCCTGGCGGCCGACTCTTCTAAGGCTTTGTCGTCGGATGTTAGGAAAGGCGCTTCAGTGTAAGCTTTACTATTTGGGCAGATCTTATCCATTTTGGCTGCTTTCATATTTGACTGTGCAATACAACATGTGGAACGGATCAACACAAATGCAGACGAGGAAAAGAACACACATTTTACGAATGCTAATGTTAGGTCTATGACATGAAATTAAAGCTTGTTTTCTTAAATTCTTAGACTCGTAAAACATTGGATACCGATAACTTTTGATTCATTAAGAAGCCCCTATACAGAAACATATCAGGACGTAATTAAATACACAAAACCGTTTGCTCAACAGCAGAATCCCATCTTAATGCAGTGCTTATTCGAAGTTTGACGACCACACGACCACGGTCCCGAAGTTTGATGACCACGCGAACACTCAATTTCGTACCACGGCTAGCACAGGTCTCCACACCATGCATTACAAGGCACACGTGTACAAACGTTTTTCATCGACGAAGTGTGCTTGCTCCCGCATACTAATTTAAGGCTGCTGGGGCCCGCCGACTGTGATCCGCTAGACGTCGCTTTAATATCGGGGCTACAACTCGCATTACCCCCAGAGAGCATTGATGTCGGGGCGCTGCTGCTTCATTCACATGTCCGACCCGTTCCGAAAGGCCCTTGAGGAAATGAAATTGCTGTAGGAGGGAACTGATAATGGATAAAGTCAGCCGGGTCGCTCAACATAGACGTTCAACTACGGATCAATTTTGGATTTAGAAACTAATACCACAGTGGTGTTAAGACCAAGGTGATTGGAACAGGCCTGGGTTCACAGGAATGAACTTCGGATTGGAAGGAGCGACAACGACGCGAAGAGTTGGAGATGTGGGCAAACAGAAAGACATGCAAAGACGGAGAGGCAAAATACAAAGAAAAACTCGCTAAGGACATCCTTTCTTTGCTACCAGGTCGGACACTTCACTGCAATGTGTGACCTGCCTGGCCTGAGGCAGCATGGAATGACACCACGAAGACCCCGCCGGGCCTAGTCTTACGGAATTATTGACGCGATGTATGATCACGGGTGAAATAATTGTTCGAGCTGTTGTCCTCCTCCACTGTGTTAATGTGTCCACAACGCTGCGGGCCGGTGATATTCCAGTCGTCATGTTCTCCTTGGGATTGCTGAAATTCGAGCCGGGATCTCCTGTTTACGAGTCTAGCGCTCTAGCATACTGAGATAACGAAGAATGACAACGATTCGGTGATAGAACTGGTTTAATTCATTTCCTGAATACCTAAAGGATTGTTTTCCGCAGAACTGGGGGCCATATTGGGCTGATGTGCGCACTTGCCTTATCACGATACCCCGGAAGATTGTACAAAGAAAGACTACTGAAAAATTAGAGTACTCGAGTTCATTTAACAACTACTCGGCATACCGCCTACGTCGTCAAATGCACCGTTGGCCATAAGCCTGATGCATGATTTCGTGCGACTTCGACTGGTGAATTTGTAACTCTGTACCGAAACAAATTTGTCTAGTCGCTAGCAAATCCGGAATTCATTTCGGAACGTACACAGTACAAGTTTAAGTTCCCAATGTGGTTACGGACGATATGACGTACCTTATTTGGCACATATTTCGGAACTTACACAAAATGAATTTCAGGTTCCAATGTGGTTCAAGACGATGATATTACGCGTAGTCCAGCCATTAAAGGTCAGAAGTTTATATCAGACATGACCATAATTGAGCTGACAAAATACGTGAGCTGTGTGCATCGTGAACATCCAAGGAATGTTTCATTACGAATGGATGGGAACAAATAAATGTGATGAAGCCCAAACATGGTTTGCAATCGAGACCACATATTCAGTCAAGTTGCGAACTTGTTGACTCCGCAATATTAACTACTGCAAACGTTTTTTAAAGATAAATATGGCCAATGTAATGAAGAAAGCCAAATTAGCCCGGGTGATATTTTGCAGCTTTAACCATTTTTCATAATTCAAGATGGCGTCCTCCGCTACCTTAACGGCTAATATATTTTCTGCTTTTGATCTGGATGTCACAGACGGTCGAATAATATCTCTTCATGGGGTTATCATGGGTGGTGACTCAGTTTGTTTCTGGGCATATTTTTGGGTTACGAGGTCTTAAGGTCCACGCCAGTCCTCCTCCGACCTCCGACCTCCGAGTGTCGTGACAATTTAAGAGACCTTGAGCGCACCACTACCAGCCAGCACCTGTCACGTTCCCCTGCTACCTTTCATAATCATCACTATGTACACCTAGCTCCCCTCCGTTGTCTTCGATATCCATCTGCTTGCTGGTGCAACGGCTATAGCATGTGATTTATCCCCCACACTCGCAGTAGTTTGCATGCCACCCGACTGCGCTATGGCTGCAGAAATGGGCTCCCTGCCACAGACCTCCCACCGCCCCCCCCCCCAAAAAAAAAACCGGTGTCACACGACATTCTCAAACGTTAGGAGACAAAATCTTGAAACGGTGGTGGCCGCCATATTGCAATCTGAGAAATGCTCAAATTTGCACAAGTGCCGCGAGCTGATTTGGATATCCTAACTTCCTACCTACATAGGGCATGTTTCCATGAAAAAAGATCAAGGCAGTCGACATCACATGGCCTCATATAGCAAGTATAGAGGTGTCAACTTGACTCTTTTTTCAAACACAGTTCTAACTGCCAAAGTCCATACATGGGGATGTAACACTACCCATATCATGGCTCCATCACACTCGGCCAATTCTGCCCCAACCGTCGCGTCGCACGGACGTGTCGACAGGTGATAACGGCTGATATCCCGAGGCACCAACCATGGAGACGCCCAGGTGCTATTTACGGGCATTGTTCCGGTGCCCATCGTCACCCGTGTCATTCCAGTACACATAATTGGCGGGCTGGTTCCGTTCGGAAGGGCTTCCAACAGACGGTTACACATTATTTCTACCAGACTTCAGTGCGCCAGTTGCTAACTACCACTGAATTGTACAGCTTTAAGTACAGCTTCGAAATTTTGCCGTTCAAATCAGACCGCTGTCTTGTTCCCGATCGGGATTGCCGCATTCAGGCCAGACCGCTGCCTTGTCCCTGTTCGAGATTGTCGCATTCAGGTCGGACGGCTGCCCTGAATGCACCACATCTCCACCGGCCGCTGGAGGCGACCGCTACTCAGAAGGCCGTATATCATTTGAGGAAGGCAAACGATCACCATCACCCAAATGACAGTGTTGCATTTGTAACCGGGTGACTACTTTAGCGGGAGATGCCACTCCATATCGTTGGGCTTTGGGTTTAGGCCGCAGAAATACGATTCGTTGATTGCCAGGAGAATCTATGCGCTCTGTGAAAACCCAACTCTTCCCCTCCCCCTCTCCCCTACCTGGCAAATGAACGGTGGAGAGAAAAACACGACTAAAGGACGAGGAAATAGACCAGCATGCTCTTAAGCAGTACACTGCATAGTCCGAAATTTTGGGTAGGTGTTCAACACGCTTAGTAAAACACAGAGAGGGAAGGTTCTGGAGCACATTCAACAACTATCACAGTCACAACACCTCCGAACTATTCCCAACATTGATGCGCCATGTCTACAACTGAGAACCACGCGAAAAATGGGAAAATTATTGGTTCTCAATCGCATGACTTCTTCAGACAATGAGGATTTCTAACACAGCAAAATTTGGGGAGGGCAAACAAAACACCGTCGTCTTAACATTTATAGTTAACCACTGACCGTGTCGGGGTAAACGACTCGCAAAGCGCGCCAGGGAATCACGAAGCAGGAGACAGTTACAAATAAGTTTTAGGCGGAAGGTTTACGTCTCAGGGAGCAGTTTTGGACCTTCATGGAATTCCCGGCAAAGAGAGCATGCCGATTTCAACAGATGGGTAGATTACAGAGGACAGATTCATGTGTGTTGTGCTCAGTTCATACGATTGTCCATGTATGTGGGGTCATCGGGTTACTGCACCATTGCACCACACTACAAATGCCGCGACGCAATGACACTAGAGACCACTGTTATATGCTCTTCTGATAGGTTTTCGGGCTACCGTGTTTTAAACAGAGGTGTCGCCCTCAGGAAGCTCTTGTCCAAGGTCGAATCCAAAGTCCAACAATGGAC